ATCAGCCATCACTATCTCCAGTTCCTTCAAGGTCAAGCCAGTCACTTCAAGGATACCATGTCTTGGTCAGCCCCTCTTCCTTTTTCCTTCCATTTTCCCTAGCATCATTCTCTTCTCCAAGCCTTCCTGTCTTTTCATTATGTGCCCAAAATACTTCATCTTTGCCTTTAATATTCTTCCCTCCAATGAGCAGTCAAGCATTATTTCCTGGAGTATGGACTGGTTGGATCTTCTTGCGGTCCAAGGCACTCTCAGAATTTTCCTCCAACACCACATATTAAAAGCATCTATATTCCTTCACTCAGCCTCCCTTATGGTCCACCTCTCATATCCATAGGTTACTATGGGGAATATCATTGCTTTAACTATGTGTATCTTCATTGCCAGTATGATGTCTCTACTCTTCGTTAGTTTATCAAGACTGGTCAGTGCTCTCCTCCCAAGAAGTAAGCGTCTTCTGATTTCCTGGCTGCAGTCTACATCTGCAGTTATCTTTGCACCTGGAAATACAAAGTCTGTCACTGCCTCCACGTTTTCTCCCTGTATTTGCCAGTTCTCAATCAGTCTGGTTGCCATAATCTTGGTTTTTTTATGTTTAACTGCAACCCAGCTTTTGCACTTTCTTCTTTCACTTTGGTTATAAAACTCCTGACCTGCTCCTCACTTTTGGCTATCAAAGTGGTATCACCTATGACACGCAAATTCGTGAAGCGTTCCATATTTTTATAGGAACAGAACAATGGATGACGAGTTTGGATCATGTTTTCAGTTATGAGACGCCAGTGAATGGTTATTGTGTTAATTGCTTAATATGTTATTGTGTTAATTGTTTTTAAATATCCTGTTGTTGTTAGCATTGAATTTTTGCTGCTATTGTTGTTAACCGCTGAGAGTCGCCTAAGGGCTGAGAACAGCGGTATACAAATAAAGTAAATAAAATAAATAAATAAATCTGCATAACTAAGGTTCTTAATGTTTCTTCCAGCAGTTTTAACTCCAGCCTTGGATTCATCAAGCCCTGCACATTGCATGATGTGTTCTGCATACAAGTTGAATAGGTAGGATGAGAATATATGTTGAGGCTTTAACTCAAACATTGTTATAGTTTTTAAGTCTCCTTTGGCAGAGAAACCTCGGGGCGTAAATACATAGGAGGAGGAGGAGAAGGAGGAGGAGGATTCTTGCCTCCCACCAATATGCCATGCATACCCTCCTGATGACATCCTGATCCAGCTAGACCAGGCATGGACAAACTTTGGCCTTCCGGGTGTTTTGGACTTCAAAAAGAAAAGGGCCTGAGGCCATTAGGAATTGTGAGAGTTGAAGTCCAAAACACCTGGAGGGCAGAAGTTTGCCCATACCTGAGATAGACACACACAGCAAAAAGATGTTTCCTGAAAAATGCAGAAATGATTTTTTTTTCAAAAAAATGCACTAAAACCTAAAAGAAGTATGTTTCTGCAGCCTCGGAATACATGTGGAGAGGGATGTTTTAGCTCTAAGATGCCAGTCCTTCTCAAAGTGGCCTTCCAGAAAATCTCCTTGCTGACAATGACACTGAACTAGTTCTTTCCAGTTCTATGAGTTCATGAATTAAATCTCCCATAAATGTGTTTAAACTGTTAACATGTCTGTACTCCTTTTTCAGCTTTCCCAGAACACTCACAGTTTTGAAGTTTAATGCAGTAACCTTTTCTGCAGCTCAATCACAAAGCAAGCTTTCATCTGACAAGGTAATTTAGAGTTACATACACTGGGGGGGAATTCTTGCAAGTTGTAATATGTTTCTTTAGTTCTTGTGCTCCTTTATTAGACTTTTTAAAAAAAACAATGTTTCACAGGAGGAAAAATTGCAGTGAATGGCAGTAATCTAATCAATAGTGATCTAATTAGCTCAGGAATCACACATTAAGATTCCACATTCAAACCAAAGAATCCCTCTGTTTGCTTTTTTTTTTTTACACACATAGTTTATGTTGTAACAATAATTCCTTCAAAATGTTTCTAGCAGGATGTATATTTTGTCCCCCCATATCTGTGGGGGATATATTCCAGGATTTCATGTGAAGATACAATACAACAAATAATAGAAAACCCTATTGAAATGAAAAACTTCTAGCCCAAGAGCTCCACAATGTCATGCTGGAGGACCCAGAAAATGGCTAGAGGACATATTTTGTTAGATGTGGATAAATGAAACTGTAGATACAGTCCCATAGATATGGAAATAATATTATTTAGCATCTGATGTAATAGACAACCACCTGTGTGATCCCATTCTTGATTTATCAGCAAAGCCTGAAGTTAACCCTGTATAGTAGTGGTTCTCAAACTGTGGTTCCCCGGGGGTTTTGGCCTACAGCTCCCAGAAATCCCAGCCAGTTTACCAGCTATTAGGATTTCTGGGATTTCAAGGCCAAAACATCTGGGGACACACAGGTTGAGAACCACTGCTGTATAGCATACCTATACCAATGTAATAACACCTTTGCATCAGCTGTATGTGAAACCTTTACAGTTAATGGAAAACACCCAACATAAAGGGAATCCAGGTCATAAAATAGGAGGAAGACCGCTACACAGCCATATAATCCAGTATCAGAATGTAGATTAGCTGCATTGAATGAGTTTATATAACAGTGTAGACTCATAATTTAATTCAATGCAGTGCAATCTACATTATATGAGTCTACACTGATCGTTATCATGCAGATCAAACTGAATTATATGACAGCATAGATGTAGACTGAGGCTAAACCTAAACTTTGTATAGGGACTCATCCTATGGTTGCTGGTTGCAAAAGAAGTACAAAAAGTCCCAACAAAGACAGCAGCTCAAGAAGACTCTCTCTTTATCATCATATCTTATTGCCCCAATAGAATTCTGACTAATTACCTTTAGCATAGCACTGGGAATATATAATATCCAATCCAGGAATTCAGGACAAAGAAATATACAACTGCCCTCCACCTCATATCAACAAATTCTGCCATCCATGGCATGAAAATATTCTAAACAGTACAAATTTGGAAAAGCAAATCTCACCTTTGCCGTTTTATATGAGACATCATTGTATATAATGGGGCTTGATATCAATGGGGGATGGGATCCTGGAACCAAACTTCAGTGGGTATCAAGGGCCTACTCTATATTAATGCTACAAAACCATTTAATTCTGCTGACTTCATCATTCTGCAAACTGAGAGGAAACTTTTGACGGGGTGTTCAGCATGCAGAAAGCACACACAATGAAAATCCAGCTGTCAGGAATAATAAAAAATAATATAAAGGGCAGGTGAGTTACACCTGAGTGCACAGAACCTTTACAAGTGCCCTGCCCAAAGCAGGCTGTATTAAGCCAACGAAGGCAGTTGCCTCAGGTGAAAGATAGAGCGAGGTGACTACAAGGTGAAAGAGTTATATGCCAAGTGCCTTGCAAACCTTCTGTCTTCAAGTGTGAACGATGCTGTCTGACTGCCAATGTTCTTTCAAGACCGAACTGACAGCCAGCTTTTTACAAATGGGATGGGGGGGGGGGTACCATCACTTGCCTCAGCCTGAAGCTGCCAGACTGAAAACTGAAGATGGGTGTTTTAACTGTTGTGTAGAAGAAGGGATTTCAGCACATTTTGCTTCTCACACAACCAGATCACAAGCAGTACCTGATGAAATTCATTCTTCTAAACCAGAGTTTCTCAAACTGTGCTCCTCCAAATGTTTTGGATTTCAGCTTCCACGATTCCCAACAGCTGATAAGCTGGCTGGGATTTCTGGGAGCTGAATTCCAAAACACCTGGAGGAAAATAGTTTGAGAAACACTGTTCTAAACAGTCATTGAAAGTCTCCAATTTTCTGGGAACCCTGCCTCAGACAGCAAAGTGACTTAGTCCAGCCCTTGTTTTGCTTCAATTATTATATATATTATCATAAATAAGGGATACTAATTCCAATGCTATAACCAGAGTCACAAGACTAAAGTACCCATCTATCTAAAGCAAAGGAGAAGAACTCTTAAGGAAGGGGATTCCTGAATATGTCCCTTTCCTTCTGTGATGGCCAGAGGTTATCTTCCCTGTTTCTGCAAAGAGATGAAACATTTTAAATATACAGAAATAAGGTAATGCTAAATTTTCTCTTCCATCTTCTGGGCTCTTATGAAGCCATCTTAAAGGAAAGAAATAACCCATTTTGCATCATGAGTTTGGCTTGGAGCATACTACCCGACTTGCTCCAATACCCTCAGAAAAGTGTCTGATTGTACATAACGTGACACAAAATATCAATGGTATAAAAACTTCTTGATTTATGTATAATCTCAATTGGGATTATTTTGTAATCTCTAGTGCTTTGTCACCTCCAGAAAATGGAAATTGGCAGTAATATGTCAATTTCGGTGGTTCTCAACCTGTGGGTACTCGGATGTTTTGGTCCTCAACTTCCAGAAATTCTAGCTGGTAAAGTGGCTGGGATTTCTGGGAGTTGTAGGCCAAAACACCTGGGGACCCACAGGTTGAGAACCACTGGTCTATTTAAACATACTATATGTTCCAAGTGTTTCTACCATTTTAAAAAAAGCAAATGTTATGAAAGGTTGCAGAGATCACAAAGGTGCCCCAGGGATACATGTGACCAATAGTGCCATCTCAGCCCTTCCAGATGTGCTGATATCAGCATATCTAGTGAGAAACAGTGCCTTGAGACAGAGGAAACCAACGGACTATTGGGGCATCTGATGTGTTTAGCGCATTGAATCCCTACCAGGTTTTGCTATTGACTTCCTTTAAATATAGCCAACAGCCTTTGGTTATTCTTGGTGGCCTCACATCCAAGCACTAACCCAGATCTGTTCCTTCTTAGCTTCCATGATCAGATGGGATCTGGTTTCTTCAAGGTTTTTAGGCCATTTCTCCACTACAACAATACCGATTGCTATTCAGTCCCAGCTACAGATGTGTTTAATCATTTTTGAAGGGCAACTAGAGATGGGAGATGAAAATACCTTTCCAATCCCTGGGTTGTCTTTGACTTTTGACACGGCTCTCAAAAGGCATGGTGGTGCTGGAGGAGGACACAGCTGCAGGATGCCACTAAAATTCGTGGCATAGATGGAGAAGTCATGGGGGTGCAGCAGAGACGTGTGATGCTTCTTTCTCTTCGAGGACAGATTAAGTTTCTGGGCGGCCCTGGACAAAGTGATGTCAAGAAAAAAAGGACAGCGTTACTACCCACAAGGAGCAATTGAGGCCAGTAAAGCAGATGTTCAGCACCATCGCTACATGTTTAACAAATCAAGCCATTTCATTTATAATCAGATTTCATAAGAACATACTGCCAAGAGACTAATAGAAGGAACCAGGGGCCAAGGTATGGCTGGCAGGATTGCATGTGTCATTTTAATCTCCAGCAGAATTTCAATTAAACCTCTAACTTAAAAAGAAGAAGTTTGGCAAGAGCTTAAAAGAAGACACAAAGGTTGCCAAAACCTCAAGTCATAAAATGCTGAAATCATCCCGTTGTCATTGGTAGGGCCAGATGGACCCTACTGCTGTTAACATTTACATAAAGTTACATATTGTACCCGAACAAGTGAAGAGACAAAAAGAAAATGACTTTTGGCTGCAATACTAGCCAGTTGGATTGTGAGGCTCAGAGGGGAAGAGGAGCCTAGCTTAATATATAAATAGCAAAGAAAAAAAAACCAAAAACACCCATCCTTCTTTTTTAAGAAATAGCTTTTTGAATACAATCAGACACAGTCTTAAGTTAATGCAGCACTCAACTGGTATTACTGCAAGGGTGTAATATTGGTCATTAATATTTATCTACATTCAACTCAATCAGTCCACTCTAGACATTTCTAAGTTCCTCCAGTGCAACCCTATTGCAATATTGGCCCAGAAGTCAATAGGCTTCACTGTTACCCATGGTTTCACGTATTCATATGAAGCATGGAAACATCCTTTTAAAATACAGGGTTCCCTGAACGTGTATAATCTCTCTATAGAGAAGATGCAACCACCTCTGGAAGGTCTAGTAGTAAATTTTCCACCCCAAACCACACCACTCTCTCCTACATCTGGTAATTGTTTTAATAACAATGAGAATGCAAGGTCCCTGTGGACGGATGCCCATAATCTGATTGTGGTGGTGGTGGTGTTGTGTGCCTTCAAGTTGCTTCTGACTTGTGTCTCTAAGGCATTCACGGGATTTTCTTGGCAAGATTTGTTCAGATGGTGTTTACCTTTGTCTTCCTCAGAAGCCGAGGCTCAGAGTTGTAACCCAACACTCAAACCATTATCACCACACAGGATCTCAGTCTGAGTGTTCCTAGCCATTAAGCCAACAGATGTGGACAGCTGTCTTAACTCAATAAGCGACAATACTAAACTTGGGAAATAAGAAATATATCAGAATCTGCTTACATATGGGTTTTGCTATTTTTATTTTCTTGTATTTTATGTTGCTATGTTTTGACTGTTGTACCCCACCTCGAGCCATTAGAAGAGGCAGGTAACAAGTAGAATTTATTATCATTATCATTATTATTATTTTCCTCTTCTGCACCCATGCTTTCCCCCATTTAAGAATATACTGATGTATCTATATGCCATCATTTTATATTGCCATGAGTACATTAGTGGCATGTAAATAAGCAAGCAGACAGGAAGGCAAATACAAACTCCAGGAGTATAGAAATGTTCTTTTTTTGCCTACAATTCCCAGAATCCCCCAGTCAGAAAGACCAGTGGCCAACCTAACATCTTTATTTATTTATTTATTTATTTATTTATTTATTTATTTATTTATTTAAAACATTTATATCCCGTCCTTCTCAGCTCCATAGGGGGCTCAGAGTGGCTTAAAATCGGCACTCATTGGATGCCACAAAAACAATAGCAATAAAGTCACAATTCAACATTAACTAACAATAAATTGAAACATTCAATTAAAAGCTAACAAATCCAAGACCAAATCCACATCCAAAGTCATAGTCCAAAGTCTGTCTATTGTCAATCAAAGAAATAGTATACATTATTAATGCTGCGCCTGCTGCTCATATGCCTGGTCCTATAGCCATAATTTAAGCTTTTTCCTAAAGTACAAGAGGGAATGGGCCAACCTGATTTCAGTGGGGAGCGTGTTCCACAGACAGGGGCCACCACAGAGAAGGCCCTGTTTCTTATCCCCACCAGCCGCACTTGCAAGGATGGTGGGATCGAGAGCAGGGTCTCTCTCAATGATCTTAAACTTCAAGGTGGATTGTAGAGGGAGATATATTCATTAAACCTGATCATCAGTGCAATCAGAACATTTGCCTATGACAAGATTTGCAGAAGGTATAGTATTTCCACTGTATAAATGAGGAATATGCTTCCATAGAAAAATCATGAATAATAGTGAAACCTACTGAAATGAAAGACTTATACCAGATGTTACTATGGAGTCACCTGGAAGACCTGGAAAATTCCTAGAGAGGTATTGTAACTTCAGTCAGAATTATACTGTAGAATTGCCTGTAAGACCTAGAAAATCTCCAGATAAGACATATTTTGTCAGAATTAGATAAGTTAAGCAGCGGATACTGGTCCTCTGGGTACGGGGGACATACTATATTCCCAAAGGGTAGCAATCTCTCTTTAGCAAAATGAATGAGTTAGCATCAAAGGTAAGATTGAAATGCAGGATGAACCCAGGCCACACCAAATAGCTTTATCTTAATAGTACCATTTAATTTACATAATGTTTATATAAACATGATGGACAACTGGCATGAGACTGCTTTGGAGTTCTGGGGCGCTAGTGTGATAATTTTTTTAGTCCTCAACTTAGGATTTGTGCTCTATGGCCAAGCAGCCAGTTCCCTGCTTTATAAATGACATTTCCCATATTTTTGATTAATAGTGAGTATTATACACATTTTTGGTTTCCATTATGTGCTGTAACATGGAAATAACAAACGGGAGTGAGGCTGAAGAAATAGCTCTAGAGAATGTTTTTGTAGCTCTATGAAGGAATACACGGATCCTGATAGATTAATGATTGCTTCAGTACAGTCTGCAGCTGGAGTCCCCTTGGGAGAAATATATAAAAGAGGAAAGGATGCCAAGATTGAATTTACACATCCAATGTTTATTCAGACACCCGGGCTGAGTGTTAATAGCCAGATACGTTTAACATACACAAGGGGCTCAACGATTGAAAGATGTAGGTCAAGTATACTACAAAGGTATGAGATGAGCTGTAAAAACCAAGGCCAAAATCCAATATAAAATTAGGCATTTGCAACCCATTGGTCTGAAAAACACCTAACCCTGTACTGGAGTTTGTTATAAAATGTGTTTCAAAATGGTCTTTATTTTAAAATTCACTCCCAATGGCCACTAGGTGAATCGGACTGCAACTAAGTTCGATTTTAAAAAAAATGAAATTCAGATCCAAGTATGTTGATCATTCCAAAAAGTCTTGACAAATGAACTTAGGAAGGAGGACACAACCAACCATAGAATCGTAGAGTTGGAAGAGACCATATGAACTGCATGAATATAGACTGGGAATGATATCCTTCATGAACAGTGATGCCAAACAACTGACATAAATAAGCAAAAATCTGATTCAGCATAAAGCATCTTCCCATTTTTCTTTGGGAAATTATGTTCCTTGAGTGCATTTGCTCTCATCACTCTCCTTGTAGCAATGCCATTGTTTATGATACAGTGGTGTAGTAAAATTGTGTCTGTGCAGGTACAACTGTACCAGGAGCTCCAATTTTGTTTGCTTTGCATTGAATGTTTGTTGTAGTCCCAAGTTTCAGGGACTCTGCAGATAGGTGGCTTCTTTTGGCTGCAATCATAGGGCAAGCCACCTGTCAATTATAGTTAGGTTCCCTGGTCCTGCCCCCTTTTTGGGTTTTTGGAGGGAATAGGAGCCATTTTGGGTTCAGTCCACACAGAGAAGCCTTTCATGCAGGACATAATACCAAGAGCTCCTGTAGAAAGCTTCGTCTTCTATGGCTTGGCCGGGGAGATATACAGCCCATGGCTTGGCAGGGGAGATATACAGCCCACAGCTTGGCCGGGATTATACAGCCCTACAGCTTGGCCGGGGAGATATACAGCCCATGGCTTGGCAGGGGAGATATACAGCCCACAGCTTGGCCGGGATTATACAGCCCTACAGCTCCTTTGCTGAAGGACTTCAGTCAGCCATCACGGAAACCTGAGTTCTTTCCCCCTGGAAGTCTACAAAGCTCTGCTTGGTAAGGGTCTCTTGCGGAAGCCAGAAGCAGTTGGTACCGGGTGTAGGGGCTCCACGCCAACAGAGGCAAAGACAGACTGCCCAGATTAGAAGTTAAGGATTTCCCCATTAGTTACAGTTAAGAAGATAGTGCCTGTTCCCTGTGGACAAGATTGAAAGAGCCTATAGACTGTTAAGAAAGCTTTAAAGTACCTGTTTGTTTTCATCAATAAAGAACTTTGTTGAACCTTTAAGCAATCTAAAGACTTTGTTTTAAGGAAATCCCCTGCACACGTTGCTTTCAGCCTTTTTCATACCAATCCCTTTGTGAACGTGAATCCATAGATACAGTCACCAGCGATATGGAGGCACTTTCGCTTGCCAATATTGAAATGAGTACATGTGAACACATGTGGAAAAGGCGGATAAAATTCACCAGCAACTATGAGTTCTATGAGATTTTTTATAAGATAACTAGCTATCCCCTGCCACGCGTTGCTGTGGCCCAGTCTGTTGATCTGGAAAATAAAGTAATGAGAAAGTGTTTGTTTATAATATATGTGATTTCTTGATGCTTGTGGGAAAACAGTATTTCTTTTTATTACTTTGCCAGTGTTGATGTAGAAATTGTCTGGTTTGCCTACTCTGAAACATGCAACATATAACTGTCCTTCTATCTATCTATATCTATGGCTGGATTACTCTTTGTCAGGAGAGCTTTGATTATGTTTTCTTGCCCTAGTGAAGGGAATTGGACTGGATGGCCTTAAGGCAGCATTTCTCAACCTGGGGGTCGGGACCCATGAGCGGGGGTTACAAGGGGCTATCAGAAGAGTCTCCAAAGACAACCAGAAAACACAGTATTTTCTGTTAATCATGCGGGTTCTGTGTGTGGGAAGTTTATTCTATTGTTGGTGGGGTCCAGAATGTTCTTTGATACTAAATTAAC